GGCAAAAGGTAAATTTATAAGGGCGGAGGCAAGAGCCCTGTAGGTCGTGAAAAGTGAAGAACAGGGGTCTCCCCTCGCCGCCAGTTCGATGGTGCAGTGGTTAAGGTCACTGGGGTTACTATATCGTGAACCCACATAGACAGACGTTGGGGTCGCTTGTTCGATTCCCATCTGTGGCTCCGAAACGAGATAAAAGTATTGTCCCCGCGACTATTAATTTCTTTTGCTCAATTCACATGCAAACGTCATCTGTCAAAATAGAAATGGCTTTTATTTTTATTAGCTCCAACTTCTGTTAATGAGAAAATGCGATCTAGAATACTGTTATTATGTTTTGCCCACTTCAAACTTGGGATGGATTCGACAAAAATGTCTCGGAGCCGAGATAAAACTCCGGCTTCAAAGGCAAGACCTGCAAATCAGTCGCGTCGACGCGTCTCTTGCACCCCGTCTGGCATGTCGGGAACATCGGGGATCGTCGCCGCCGCTCTGCTAGCTTTTATACCTTCCTCTGGAACTGCTTATTATTTATTGCCCAATTGGGATGGATTCGACAAAAATGTCTCGGAGCCGAGGAGGTAAAACTCCGATCTCAAAGACGAGACAAGGGGGACAAATACTAATCTTTGACGTCTCTTATTCCTGCACTTTCAGAAATCTCTATGTTCGAGTCGGGGAACCTGAGACCGGTTAGATTCAAAAGCCTTCAAAGAGGATGAGGCGGGCTCCTCTCGGTTTATGCGACATCTGTCTCGCACTGCACGAGTCATCCAACCGCATCATCATTGCACTCTCAATCGCCGGATCCACAACAGATCATAACATGTAGCAACAAGACATCGTTTATTGACAAAACAGGATTTGAGTCGGTGAGAAACAACTATTGGTACACAATTTCTGTAGCTGTTACGACAATAGGTAGATAGGTGGCTCTGAGTTGCGTGTATTTCTAGTACTGCTCGTCCTCATCAAGGTTGTAGTAGTGAGCCGTCTCGCGCTTAACTTTGTACTCTTCATCCTCATCTAGAGTGTAGGAGTGAGCCTTTTCGCGCTTGACTTTGTACTCTTCATCCTCATCCAGAGTGTAGGAGTGGGCCTTCTCCCGCTTGACCTTGTACTCCTCATCTTCGTCGAGTGTGTACGAATGGCTTGGCTCCTCGCGCTTGATCTTGAGGCTTTCGTCCGCATCTAAGGTGTACGAGTGGGCGGGTGGACTAGGAGGCTTGTCTCTGGCCTCATAATGCTCGTCTTTGTCAAGAGTGTACGAATGTCCCGGCGCAACTTCACGCTTTCGCATGTAGCTCTCTTCCTCGTCGAGCCCGTAGACATGCGTTAGCTCTTCACTGGCATGATCAAGCGGAGCGATCGTGCCATCTGTATAAACTAAGCACGATTTCTCTTTCCAAAACGTCAGATAGGCTTACCAGGAGTATCGACGGGGATCGCGTTGATGCCAAGAGTGGCGAGAGCCAGGAGAGTTACGAGGATGCGCTGCATTGCTGTGAAGTCGAGAAAAATCGGATCGCAACCTCAGCGGCGACTTGTTCTGCTGAGGAAAAGGATAGCGGCGAAGGGACGGTTCAATTATATAGGCGATGGGTGCAGGGTCAAAACCCCACAGAGTGTCTTCATCTTCAGAGCTCGAACGTTGAGGCATGGATTCCAGCTGTTCTAAACGTCTCCCAACTTCGAGGCCTGGTGAACCGAACACGACAATTCCGTTGCTCGTCCGAACAGGAAGCCGAAATAGGGCACATCTCCGAGTCGGGTCCACGGTATCTTCTTTTGCTGGAAATTTCCGATCCTGGCCAGTCAGGGATTGTTGCATCTTACGGAAAACGCTGGAAAGTCATTGTCTACTCACTGTGAAAATACACAATAGATTCGTGCTAACTCGGCGATGTTCCTGAGGACGTTCACATGACTGACTGGCTACCCTCGCCGAACAGTACAAATGCCAATCCCATGCTGTTGGTGGACTTCATGAACAATCTTGTAACAGAGGGTGGAGAGGACGCCTGCGCGGTTCCCGGATGGGAGGGTCGAAGAGAGGAAAGATATGGGCACGTTGTGGTTTGCTAGCGATTCTATTTCCAATTTTGTACTGTACGTTAGTACATAAAGGGTCCGATATGCGTTTCCCCACTTTTCTGTCCCTGAACTTGCAGGAAATTATGACTCTTCCGATTCCAGTACAGGATCTTCCACAAGCGCCAGCCGCTCTTTTCGGTAGTAGAAGAACTGACCTAGAACCTGCATGGCTATTAGTATACGAAACTTCTACATAAAGAGACATACGATGAAGTCCAAGAACACCGTCAGTCCGCTCCCTACACGCCGGATATCGTCGGCCGTTATAGAAACCGGCTGAACATTGAGAGACGCACCTGCCAGCCAACTGGAGTTCGCCAGCAAATACCGCCACTGCATGCTCTTGATGCATATCGACAGTACGTATGTGACGTTACCCGCTACGGCGAAGATAAACAGTGCTAGGGATAGACCTGCGCATTTGGTCTCGCGGTTCTTGAGGATCTGGGGGATGCGGGAACCCACTGCAACATGTTAGTGTGCGGAGCTGGAAGAGATGGGGGATGCACAGTAGAGGACGGCGCTACACCATCCTATCAGCTGGCTCTTCCATTCCAGTACATCGCCCTCTCCCTCCCCAGGTCCCGGCGTGCCAACCTCCTTCCCTCTCGTTACAGCCCAAGCTATCGCCCCGCTTGCAAGGACGAAGCACACCGCGAGGACGTAGATGAGCACTTTCTTCCATACCGAGGAGGTGGGTTTCGCGGTGGCAACGAGTTCTGAGGAGGAGGGGGAGAGGAGCGGATCGGTCTCGCTCGGCGTTGGGGAGACACGGGCTATATGTGTTGGGTGGACGTGCCGGTAGTAGTAGATCTGTCCTAGGAGAGTGAGGTCGCAGAGTGTGTACTTGAAGCACATCAGTAACTGCTTTATTCCAAAAAGCGGATACGCACATAAACAGCGAGTATGATAACAGTCGGAATCAGACCAGCCATAAGCGCCCCTCCCAGATTACACAAGTCTCCGGCAAGCCATATGACCACAAACAGTACACTGAGCCCCTCTCCAGACTTGAGCGTGTAGTTCTCGTATATCTGCGGGGTGTAGACGATGATCCTTGTAGTTCAGAATGGAATGCGTGAGATGGGGAGAGCGTACGAGGGGTAGGGCGCTGACGCACCAGCAGGCGATGGACATCCATCCTGCCTGTGGGGTGTTAGCAGGGATTGTTGGTGAGAGATAGAAGACATACGACACTGCTCAGCTCGTCGTTGAGTGCCATTGTGATACATTCACTGGTAAAATATTAAAGTGAAGATGGTGTAAGAGTAAATGTCTAGTTGTTGGTGGTCGTGTGCTGCAGAGAGACAGCTAAGAGAAGGCGGGAAGCGCCGGTTGCCTTATCGCCGAGTCCTTATTACCGAAGCAAGGTGAGAAGCAAGAAATCGTTTTATTCCTCGATAACAACACTACCGTAGGAAACTCTCATGAATTTCAGCCTAATACTGCACCTAATAGCTGCCGTGTCCCTCATGATCCTCATGCTCATTCTTCTCCTGTCCTTCTCCATGTCCTGCATGTCCACTAGGCACATTAATCCTCACTTGCTGCTCCTCCGTCCACCCCGCATGTTTCTCCTCCATCCAATCATGCACCTGTCTCCAATCCCTACATGTATGCACTACCCCTCCCCCCGTAGCGACCTTGTCCCCATTCTCTATCAGCATCCCTGTCCCCCCAGGCTCGAGCGTCGTATCCGCTGCGCAGAGGATACCTTGCCTCAAATAGTGGAAGCAGTGTTCTGTATGGTCGGAGCCGTCGTCCCCGTTTACAAGAGCAGCGCGGATATGGTTCAGACAGTGCATCTGGTGCCACATAGAGACGCCGAAAGCGAAGTATTCTTCCCCTAGGAAGGCGAAGCCCTTGCCGTGAGGGCGGATGGCGTTCCATTCTGCCCAAGCGGGGATACCGGCCATGGCGTAGTGCTCCGGGTCGTCGTGGAAGCCCATGTTTACCGTGCGGACTTTGATGGGCAGCTCTCGGGGTCGGTCCCCTTCCAAGTACGCTGCATGTTGTCAGTATCATACACGCAAAGCTTGAGAAAAGGGAAGGCGCACTGTACTCCTTACTTCCACGGGAGAGGATCTTGACATGCATGAACAGAGCCCCTATGTTCAACACGAGGGCCAGGACGAGGGCAGCAACGAGGGCGAGGGATATACCCCGCAGCTTCGTCCCGGAGGACTTGGGCAGGAAAGTGCTGGGGGAGAATATGAGTTTCCTGGGGGGCATGGGATGGGAGGGCGAGATGGGACAGCGAGAGAGCAAGGGGTATGAGGAGTGTGTTGCGCCACAAGAGATTCTCTATTATGATCCGATGTGGGCATGCACCCCCGTACTACAAGCGAGGCTACCGCAAGTATGTGTCGAATTTCCCGCTCGTTCATCGAGGTACGATAGCCCGGAGACAAGTACCCTGGGATTCTGGAGTGACTGGTCAAGCGCAAGTCTTGGTGAAGCCAGTGCTGAATACAGCAAACATCTCGGTGGGTCGAATTTTCCGCTTGCATCTAAATCAGGCAAGTGGACAAGTCTGCCAGGTTCTAGAATGACCAGTCAAGCGTTCGCCTTGGTGGAGCCCCTGACTAGTCAGATAAGTCTTTGCTACAGCCCCAAACCAGTCAGACCGAGCATATGGAAGCCGGCCGACGTGCAGTACCTCATCCCCAAGGACCCGGAGCACCAGGCGTACGCGATAGAAGTTCCAGTCATCCAACTACCCAGAGAGGAACAGCCCGAAAACTAGGTATTATCGAACAAGATATATGAATGCCGAAATAGCCGCCTGTTCGCGTCATCAGAGCTCCATGATGGTGGTCGTCCGTGTGGGAGGGAAGATGGTCGAGTCGCGTCGAGTCACTTGAACGTGTTGGACGTCTCGGGAAGAAGAGCATTCGACCAACCTGCAGCCAGTCTTCCACTTCTCTCACTCCAAGCTGCTCCTTCCCCCGTACTCGACTGACGATGCCCGTCCCCATCACAGCCGACGCCATCGCCCCCCTCTGCCTGCACGGCAGCAACCTCAGCATCCAACACGCACAAACGGGGCACCGGCTCGCCCTCCTCTTGCATTTCTCCCCCATCGCACCCGGGAGTCGAATACTGGAAGTGGGATGCGGGCAGGGGGATATGACTGCTGTTCTGGCTGCTGCTGTCGCCCAGGAGGGAGGGAAGGGTCAGGTCGTCGCTGTCGATCCTGCGCCTTTGGACTATGGTGCGTCCTGTGCCTTCCACCTCCTGCAGGTTATCTAATATTTCACAGGTGCACCATTCACGATCGGCGACGCCCAAGCGCATCTCTCCTCCGGCCCCCTAGGAGCTCACATCACATGGGTGCAATCCTCTCCAATTGACTATCTCTCATCCTCCAGCCAGTTCGACACTGCTGTCCTCGCCCACTGCTTGTGGTACTTCTCCTCCCCTTCCCTGCTGCTCAGTACTCTCCGCGCCCTCCGAGCACGCTGTACCAATCTCTGCATAGGCGAATGGAGCCTCTCTGCTTCTCTGAAGGAGGGGCAAGCACATGTGTTCGCCGCGCTTACGCAGGCTGCGCTGGAATGCCGCAAGCCATCGAGCGAGTCTAATGTCCGCACCGTCCTCTCCCCCTCTGCTATCAAAACCTTGGCACAGGAAGCTGGCTGGTCACTCGAGTCGGAGCGTAGCATCACACCCGAGCTTCGGTTGCTAGATGGGAGATGGGAGGTAGGAGATGTGCTCGACCCTGCGTTTGAGGAGGAAGTGAAGGAGAACGTGCAGGATGAGAGGGAGAGGGGGGTCATCTTCGCCCTGCGGGACGCCACCCAAGCCGCTGTGGATAGAGTGGAAGGGATGAAGGGGGTGGGATGTATGGAGGTTTGGGTTGCTGTGTTTGTTTGACGCGCTGCGGGGCAGACATCTAGGAGATTGAGCGGGTGTATTGTACGATATTGATCCAAGAAGAATAGAAATAACTATCCGATCAGCCATTTCCCGTTTCCTATCCTTCCCCCAGAGTCAAGCAACCAGTCCTCAAAGTTTTGCCCTTCCATGAACAATAACCCTCTCGACCTCCAATTCCTTCTGTCCTTCCCCTACCGCCAGTCTCTCCAGCTCCCTCAAGCTCTCTCCCGCCTTTCCGAGCCAGCGGTTCAGCATCTCCCATTCCAACTCTCCCTCTTCTCCTGGCGTTTGGCTGGCCCAGTTCGCCTGTTGGACCATGGACAGGGAGGCTGTCGTATACCCCAAAGCAGCGAGGAGCGCTGGGGGCAGACGGGGGTCGTAGGATCCTTTGGCGACGCGATGTGTTGCGTGGGAGATAGTGTGCAGCTGGGCTGTGAGCAGGGAAACAGAGGGATGTGGTGTTGAGGAAGCTAGAATACTGTATGCCCACTACGGTACGATATGATGCGTACCTCTTTCTGCGTAGCAGGGGTGCAACATACCTCAAGATAGTAATCCATCGCCTTGTGTTTGGACTTTCCAATAACCCGGCATACATCTCCCGCCAGGACACTCCCCGTTCCCTCCCAAATCCGTTCCACCAAAGAGTCCCTCATCAGCCGACTCAGCGGTTCCTCCTCCATATACCCTAACCCTCCTAGGGCCTCTATACAGTCCTGCACGGACTTGGACGCGCGCTGGCCGGCAAATGCTTTCGCCACAGGGGTGAGGAGGCGAAGGCGGCTTTCTTCAGCAGGAGTGGAGCTTCCTAGCTCGGACTTGCCCAGAAAGAGAGAAAGTGGGATGAGCAGGTGCAGCAGTGCGTGATGCAAGAGTGCGGTGTCCAGCAGGAAGGAGGTGTGGATGGGAAGGTCCTGAAGGAGGACGTACTCCCCTGTGTTGGTGTTCAGCACTTTCCTGACTCCGGCGTACGAGGTCGCAATCATTAGCGCCCTTCCGACCGAGCCAACGGCATGGAAAGCGCTGTGCATTCGCGTGATATTCAGGACCGTAGCGATATTCCTCACTCCCTGCCCGAGCTCGCCGACCAGATACGCATGCGCGCCAGTAATGGAGAGCTCAGCGGTAGGCACTGCACGGGTACCGATCTTCTGCTTCATCCGGTGGACAAAAACGCCGTTGTTGCTTGCCTCTGAGCCGGGGAGGAAGGAACGTGCCTTGAGAGGGAGGAGGAACAGGCTTAGCCCGCTGCTTCCAGGCCCACCGGTGCGTGCGAGGGAGAGAGCAACGTTCCCGTCTGTAGCGCTCGAGAACCATTTGAAGCCATCGAGGATATACAAATCCCCAGGTTGGATGGTGCTCCCTTGGCCAGGTGCGCGTGTGGCCACGGTTTCGGTACGCGAGACGTCGGACCCACCGGGCTTTTCGGTCATAAACTGCCCCGCTGTCCAGGCGTGGGTGGTGTCCCTAGTAGTGAGAAGTGGTAGGATAGAGCTCTTCATCAAGGGTGTGCCGTATTTCTCGATTACTGCGTCTGGGTGAGCGCGCATGTGGGATTGTCACGACACGGAGCTGTACCTCGCGCAGCTCCGTCGGTCATCGACATAGGACATCCTACCACCCGAGAATCGCCCACCCACAGATAGATCTGACATCATCTCAGTATATTATTGTTGGGCGTATGGGATGGACGAACCTTGGCGAATTGGTGTACCCGAGCATACTCGCCAGTCTGCCGTTCAAACGCAATACCGACGATTCTGTTCTGCGTGAGCGACAGTACAGGGTTTGGAATAAAATGATCACACACCCTTCCTCAGCTGCAATATCCTTCAGCTTCCTCCATCCCTCGCTCGTCTCTAGCCTGTCAACTCGGCGCCCGTAATGGTCATACTGCACCAGACGCGGTTCGTTATGCGGTCCTTCTGCCAATCGACCAACTTCTTCGATCTCTGAACCAGAATGAGTACCAACCCCGCGTCAGAAAATATTTAATAACCTCCATCGTGTATTCGTTTAGCAAATCGACGTAGATCGGCCTCGACGGTCTTCCGTACCGATTCGGGAAGTATCCGCCTCAAGAGTGCGTTGAGTGATCTGGTAGCATCGTAGACGTTCTTCGGCAACTTGTATTGCTCCAATTGGAAGCTATCCTCGACTTTCATTCTGAACTCTCCTGAATATTGAAGTTGGAAGTGATGGAGTAGACAAGAAAGGGGGCCTGCATCGCCGATGCTGACTGGTTGTTTGATATGCCGAAAGGAGTCAAGTGCGGGGAACCCATTTCGGCACGTGAAAACTTGCACCATTAGCCGGGGGTCAGGTACGTAAGCAAAGTCACGAGACCACAGACGGGGGACGCGTAATGGCGCCAGCGGCCTCAATGTAGAAAGCCGGAAGGGCCTAGTTCGCTTAAATTTTACGGAGGTATTTAGGCTCCTTGGCTGAGCTCGGCAGTCTGCCTCCGCTTCAGGACCCTGTGTGTAGGGCATTTCCATTTCCCTCTTTCTTATGTAACCAAATATCAATATCTTCTGGCTTCTACTTTTTTTTTCTCATTATGCCACCCTGTTTTCCTGAACATGTCATATATGAGTTGCACTTCTAGCTAGCTAATGAAACATTACTATGACAATTATTATAGCAATGCACAGCAATGCACCTCCAATCATTAAGGACCAAGCAAAAAAGTCCATTCTGTCAAACATCCCATGGGCACCATTCTTCATGTGGTAGAGAACAAACTGCATGAAGCCAAACACCAGCCCCGCAAAAAGTGCAGGGAGAATTCCAATGCCCATAATCAAGTTGCAGGCTAGTCTGGTATACAGTGTTGCTGCTCATTCAATGAGCAGGCCACTCATGAAGACAATGCCCATGGATTCAGCAATTTCATCTGCCTGGCACTATAAGACTCAGCCAGCATGTTCAAGAGAAAAAAAAGAGACACTTACCTGCACATCTGGACGAATAAGAGCTTCCACTCTCTCAAAAGCAATGGCATGATCACAGTTGTTCATTTTGTTGGTTGGCTGTGGGCAGATGATGCTGCAGCCCAGTAGGTTGGAGTCGCTGAGGACAGGCATAGCCACCGAAATGTCAGAACCCACAGTCAGGTTCACACTAATGATCCTCAATGGCAAGTCTTTCCCCACCTGCATTACCAACATCTTCACTATGACCCAGAAGTTCCTCCTGCCAGACGAATGTGAACTCTTCTCCAATGGTGCATGTATTGAGCAGCCCAGCTAGAAATCTCACCAGCAACTGATGTACAAACCATGAAGCAGCACAAGAAAGCCAATGTTACTTGCATTGCAGATCTACCTGCATTGTCCCCTGAAGCTGAGAAGATGGTGAAAGACATTCAAGAGGACATATTTTGCATGATCACCACCAATCAAGTTGATACCAGCACTTTTTTGGCATGGCCCATTGGCCAAGGTGGAAAGAAGCTCAAGGTCAATGAGCAGAATGAGCAAAACAGAGAACAAGATGCAGCAGATCAAGCCTATTTTGAACAGTGCATGAGATTCCATAGCAGTGCCTACAATTCTGACTCCTTTTTAGATGCAAGCAGGAAGAGTTATCATGGACATCCTTGATTCAGTCATATAATACCATTCAAATGACTGTCCTCAAATCCATCCAGTCTCACATGGCTGATCCAGCTTCTCAAAGCCCCCAAACACTCTACTTGGATGTAATGTTGTATTGTGCCCTTTTGGGAGGCTTTGGAACTGCATTGTCATACCTGCTTACATAGAGTATACCTATAATGTACATTGATCAAAGGCAGGTGATGAGCTCAAGCAAGATTGGCCCTTGCCTCTACCTTTCCCATCTGTACACAATAGTACCACAGTATTTACTCTCCTATTCCTCTGCCAATATCTTGTCCCAGTTATAGTTCTTGCCTCTTCCCCAATACATTCCCTTGATCTTTGGACCCACTACAGACAAGCTTGACCCACCTTCATCCATCTTCCCCCTTTTGTTTTGGTCATTGTTGCCACAGTACTCTGTGCAGAATTCTTTCTCTTCCTTCCCCCACCTCATGTGACTTTTCAGTTGTTAGCCTTTCTATCTGAGGCATTGGTCATGCTCAGGTTTGGTTTGGTTGGTGACAATTCACCCAAGATTTGCGTCTCCATTTCTGCATTTCTCTCACTGAAAGTACATCTTGCAGCCCTCCTGCTCCTATCTTCCTCTGATATTTCCATGTCAGATGGCCTGATCACCTCTGGCTGGTCTGGTTGGTTCCTTGGCAGTTTGGGCAGTGCACTGCTCTCTTCTGAGGCATGCAGCTTCTTATGGCTGTCCAGCTGCAACCAGGTGGGTGCTTGAAGAGCTAGTTCCCTGATGTCAAGCAGATGTGCCAGGCACCCACTGCACCTCTCCAAGGCTGTGACATATCGCTATACACATTGGTGTTTTGCTGAGCTTGACTTCAATTTGCAGCCTCTGATAATCAGTTCCTGGTCCATGAGAGTAGACTCCATTTTCCCCTTGTCTGAAATGGAAGGTTCTCTGGCTGTCACACAGCATATCTTGGCACCAAAACATCATGCTTGTTGGGTGTTGGTGGTCCAGCTTCATGGGTTGGAAACAACCTGGATGGTCTTGATCTGTAGGATTTCCCATCCAGTTCAGCCATGGGGTTTCTGGGGTGATCCTCCAAGATGGCTCATTGGAGGCCAATGTATAGATGTTGATTTTGTTCAGATCCTTATAAGCACCCAACAAAGCAGGTTGCAACTCTTGAGCATGGGTGATATAAGATGTGAGGAAAATGTGAAAAAAGCCAGCAGAGAACTTCCTTCATTCAAGCAAGTCCCCTGTGAAAGTGATGGTGTTGTGGAAGTAAGATCTGCAACCAATTTATTACTTTGCCTCACACTAACAGCGCAACTCACTTACATTGTAGCTGCAATACCCTGGTTTGGTCCACTGATCCTCCTCCCAGAACATGCAATCACCATGAGTAACAAGTCATCACAAATCTCCTTAGGCTTGACTTTGCCAAAGAACAAATAAATAGCCTGCATGATGCTGTCAGTCACAAGCATCTTGGATCCACAGTTCCACATACTTCAATAGCTTCATGATACTTGCCTCCTGATACCCTTTCAAAAGGTAGCAGAAGCCATCCAGTTTGCTTGTCACAGTTGGTAGTGACCACCATCATTACTCAGAAATGCATCCCAAACCTGTCACCTAATTCAGTACTTTCCTTGCACATCTGGATTAGCACACTCACTCGTCCTTCACTTTCTGTAGTTGTGCTTGCACTGCTCTCTCCAGTGCTCCTGGAGCTAATGGCTCTTGAAACCCGAGCACACCAGTCTGGCTCCAAGATGGAGATGCATTTTCCTTCAATGTCACAGGGACAGTTCTATGGTTTGGCTGATTTGTGTCAGTGTAGATTCACTCTCCTTTGTTGCCTGCTTACACCCCCAGGTACAGAGACTCGGTCAAAGATGAAGGTGGATGCCTGTGCATGCAGTTCAATCCAATGTACCACCTTCTCTGCATCCACATCCAGGAAGAAAAACAGTGTCACAAGTTCTGTGTTTCTGGGTGCATCCCATTCTCTCAGTGTCCCAGAGTAGGGATACTGGCACAATGAGACTCTCTCTGTTCTATGCATGTGAACAACATACCTTAACATGCCCATTTGTCTCTCACCTGCTACACTGGATGCACTTGATTTTGCCCCCCTCCCTGGCCCTGGATTTCTTCCCCCATTATATGTGCACATCCCAGCTCATGGTTTGAATCAATGCAGAAGAACTTCAGGCAGGTTGCACATATGGTAACAGCAAATGCTGGCCACTTTATCTTACACACATAACATTTCTACAGATTCATCTGGGTTAGCAGACTTGCTAATACAAATTGGCTCAGCTCACATAGCAATGATGGTTGACAGCTTTCCGTGGGTGGCCCAGTACATCCTGTCTGGGAATCAGTCTCCTGCCTACCATGTGGTTGTGCACACTTGCCAACACTGCATCAAAGAACATTGGGGTGCTGAAGATGCTGCCAACAAAGAACTCAAGCTCTAAAATGTCTGTGCTGAGAATATTGGTTACTTCTGAGAAGTCCACAGATTCTTCTGTCTGCACCACAATACTCCAGTACATAAATAGTGCAGGTCTGGCACTTTCACCATTGGGACATGCATGAGTCAAGCAACTCAATCCAACAGGCCATAAGCTTACATCAATTCAGCATGCATCCTTGTCCAGAAGAATTGTATGATGGGTCCTTCCAGATCTGTCCTACTTTCATGAATTGCTTCAGCTTTCCATTGAATAATGTAAGACAAGGTCTGTTCCCCCATGAGAATCTTTGCACTGATATTGCAGGAACAACTACACACCCCATTGTCTTCTTCGAAGTGCCCAACAATCTCCACCCTGTTGAAGTGGTCATCTTCATATATGTTGAATTACATGAGTTCATGAGGGGCTGGGCTGTTGCCAGACTCTTCCCCAGGTTTCGCTATCTTGCAGGTGTTCCAAGCACACCTCAACATCTCCTTGGAGATCTCAGGTAGTTTGGCACTAGCAGCAATTAGCCAGCAAGCCCTGACCCCCTTTGTTAGATCACTTACATTTCATTGTATGTAGCTGAATGGATCTCCATCTCCTGCAATATGTAGTAGAATCTACCAGTTTCAATGCCCTATAATGCATGTGCTAATGAGGTTGAATTCCAGTTCTTGGACTGTGCTTACCTTCCCTTCATCACCCATGCCCTGTGAGTCTTTGCTTCCCTCATCCAACTGGCATTCAAACAATACCATGGGCTTATGTCTGTTTGCCATTTTCTCACAAAGCTCCCAGTGATTGAGCTCCCATGCCCATTCAGCTCCTTTCACATGGATCAAGGGTCTGGCTCCCACTGTCTTGTATCTATGGCTGCCATCAGAGTTCAGCATGATGCTGCCTACATCACGCCTGCATTGTGTATCCTTCATTGTTGGAACATGATCTTCGGCTGAACTTGGTGACATTGGCACTTCCTGTTCCTTGTTCTTGGCCTTGCCACCAGGAGTTTTGCTATTGGTGGATTGATTCTGCTTGGGTGTCATTGTCTTTGTCATTGTTGAGGAAAATTAAGATGAGTTAAGATGAGATTGGCAATCTTGATAAGTCATGTCAGATGTGTGGCGTTCTTAAGCTCTTCAGAAGATGGTCCTTTTAAAGTGAGCTTTCTGGAGGTGCCCAGCAATATATAGACAAAATTCCATGGAAGCAAATGATGGCCTGGACGCGCCAATCTGGCCTTTGGTTGTGAGAAGAAGCAGATTCCGCAGAAGCAAAACTGGGCCTTAACCCGTCAATGTGGCCTTTGGGTGTGAGAAGAAACAGATTCCCCAGAAGCAAATGAAGGCCTTAACATGTCACACATCAGTGTGTCCTGGCCTTTGCACTCTCTTCTCTCCTCATTCCTTGGATCATGCACCAATTTGGTGCATGATATACTAATCATGCATCTGTAGGGTTGGATCTATCTCTCCTGCACAGGCATCCCATTTGATGGCAAGGGTTAGCTGGTGCAGATGGTGCAGGGCTTGTCCCATGCCCTCTGCTCACTATCTTATAGATGGGTGGTGATGGCATGCGGGGCTCATCCCACATGCCTTTGCCCTCATCTTGCCATCAGATGAATGCAGGTATCTCGACACATGGATGACTGAAGATGGTAAGTATGGTAGGGTTCTTTTTCACTTCACCTGGATCCTCCTGTTCAATGGCAAGGGTTAGCTAGAGCAGATGGTGGAGGGCTCATCCCATGCCCTCTGCTCACTATCTTATAGATGGGCGGTGATGGCATGCAGGGCTTGTTCCACATGCCTTTGCCCTCATCTCACCATCAGACAAATGCTGCTAGCTCGACACATGGGCAACTGGAGATGGTGCAGGGCTTGTCCAATGCCTTGCCAGCTTTCTCATGGATATGACATGCAGGGCTTGTCCCATGTGCCCATGTTCATCAACCCAAATGGTTTGTTCTCTCCTTTGCTTCTCTCCATAGTGGCATACATATGTGATACACTGAGTAATGCAGCCCATTACTCCAGTGTTACCTAGAGTGAACAATCCCTGGAGTAAGTGCTCTGATGTTGCATGGAATCCTTAATTGCACCATTGGTAATATTTGATTTGTATGTATTTACTTTCATTTCCAATGTCAGAGGCAGAAATATAGCTAGGGCCCTCAAGCAGACAGTGAGACAAGAGAGTCAGCTGCCTAAGTCCACTTATCTGAGGATGATAGGAATGTGAATCAGTCAATCACAGCTCAATCGAGGTGCTTGGCTTGTTCAGGAACCTCAGAGGCTTGCAGAAGATAAGGCTGATCTTCAAGACCTGCACATGCTGCAGGACATCACCTGTCAGATTTGCATTAAACAAACTTCATCTACATAGCATCTGCTAATGACATTGATTGGGAGAAGCATGGTTTGTCTACACGGTCCAATTTCATTCTGCATTCAGAATGGTGTCCCAATTGTAGGGCCCCTTCCCCACTTCACTGGCACTTTGCTCGTCTTCAGGAACAGTCAAATAGTTGGTGATGCCAAGCTGGGAAAGTCATCCAGGTGCTTCGGGCAGGGGGTTGATCCTCTGCCAGCCTCATTGGGTGTGGGGGGAGAAGGGGATCTGCTGGGTGGTGCAGCTTCCATCCTGTCATTGCTGGCTGGTATCTGGACTCCAATCTTCCCCTCAGCATGATCTGGTAAGAAGAAACCAGGGGAAAGGGCAATGTCATCTACATTGCTGTGGTCTTGCAACTCTTGCTTCTCTTGAACTGCAGGGCAATCCAGATCCAGATCCATCTGTGATGTGGTACTGGCAAGATTGATGCTTGCAAGCATGCCTTCCAGGGTGACATTGTACTTTTCCAGCAGGTTAAGAGGCTGGGGGGCTGAGACAATGTGGACTGGAATTGTGTCAAAGTCAACCTGGATCTGCAGCACACACAGTTTGTCATCCACTTGGTGTGTGTATACCCCTCCCTCTCCAGCCTTGAAGCGCAGTTTGCATTGCCCTTTGCATCCAGCCTGGCAGCACCAATACTCCATTTTACCAATATACTTCCCCAACATTTTCATGGGCATAAGGCAGAGTGGGCAGTTTGATCTACCAGGTTGCCCATCCAGTTTACACTTGGGGCTCCCCATGTGAACCTCCAGCTCAGCCCCCCCCCAAAGAACAGACAATGTACACATCCAGGCTGAAGGTACATTCTGCAAGGTCACAATGATAGGCGTGGAGCACTGCTTTCTTGATAGGCTGTCCTTCAGTGAGGAAATTCCACAGGAATGGCAAAATGAATAGCTCAGTGACCCTCACCGAGTTGAACTTGTTCACGGTGAAGGCCATGGTCTCATGGAAGAAGTCCCTGAGCTTCTTTCAGCAGTTTGCTATGTGAAGGCACCATCTCAACTTACGTAGATTTGAAGACCACCCCAGGGGCATACTGCACCATGCCTGAGCAGGTCATGAGGATGAGTACTGACTTGTCACACACAACCACTGGCTTCAAGTTGTCTAACATGTACCACACTGCCTGGAATCCAAAGTCAGTTTCTGTTAGGGCAACACAGGCTGACTAAGTCTGCTCACCTAAGAGTGCCAAG